GGGGGGTGGTTATACTTTGCTCTATTTTTTTACTTTATTTTCCCCTTTTTTTCAATTCCGCTATTATATTGGTATAGCCAGTATTATTAGCCAGAAAATAAATCAAAGGTCCGCAAACTTTATCATTGTACTATCTGAAAGGGACGCCAGTGATGATTACCTTTTCCAATCACTTCCTTGTTCAGTTTTTGGGAGAGTGTCTTCTTCTGAGAACAAAAACAAGCAAAGCGTAGTCTAATAGTTTCGAGACGTAGACACAAACCGTGATTTTGAAATAGACTCTAGAGATCACAGACACAACACAGAATTCAAACATAGTCTCCATATCACGGACCCAAAGCATGATCCAGTCATGGAGTCTTAAAGATAAAAGACGGGATACAAATATGCGACAGAGAGTCTGTTGAGAGATAGAGAAAAAAACAACCCCCCCCTGGTCCATGCATGAAGTAGCTTATCAGAGATAAAGGACACGAAACATGGTTCAGCCCTAGCGTCTCAATAATAGAGGAAACGAAACATGATTCGGATATAGATTCGGAGAAATAAAGGACACCCAAAAAAAAAATTGATTCAGATATATAGATACGAGAGATCGAATTGATAAGCACGATTCAGATACATAATATAGAATCTAGACATCAAAGACATGAACGTAATTTAGAAATAGAATCTAGAGATTATAAACATGAATTGAGATATAGAATTTTTAAAATAGTTTATCTACTGGGATGCATCATGGGTTGGCGTGACAGGCACAGCCTAAGCAGCCCGTCCCCGAAATGATCTAAGGTGAGTCGATGGGGGTATAAAACAAAACAATAAATAATTACACGTACATTACTCACCTTGGCCTCGGTGTGAAGAGCGAGGACACAGGCCATGAGCAGGATCGTCACGACAATTTGCCTGGACGTCATTTCTAAGCCTGTGGTGAGAAACGTTGTTGACTAGTGTCTTCATCCTCATCGTTTATTTTGTCTGCGTGCTGCTTTTATCATCATCATCATCATCATCATCATCATCATCATCATCATCATCATCATCATCATCATCATCATCATCATCATTTCCTTCAACCATCCACTCATAGAGAGAGAGAGAGAAAGAGAGAGAGAGAGAGAGAGAGATTGAAAAGGATCGAAGAAAATTAGAAGGAGCAACGCTTGAAACTGCTTTGTACATAATTGTTTTTACTTTACAGCACAGGCGTTATGTCAACAAAAACTTACCGTAGGAAAACGCCTAGTCTCAGAATCAGATGAGCAGACGATGATGTTCGCGGAGAACAATCCCAACTTTTATAAAACAGTTCCTAACTCAACCAGAGCCGAGAAAACGGCGTTTCGCAACCTGAACTTATCCTCGAGTTGTTTTCTGTACAGGTGCTGTTTTTAAAAAAAATAATTTATTTTTAAAACTCTTTCCCCTTCTGTCATAATCTGAGCAGCCGGGAGCATGTGCTCAGGACTGACTCCGCTGGGCTTTTTGTAGTAGAGTCTGTTTGCAGCCTATGACGTCACACTCGGGTAATTACGGTAAATTACACTGACTGTGGCAGCCGTGATGTAACCACTGAATACATGATATAATAATTAGTGGACGTCACAAGGTGATGTTTACAATGGAGTCATCTCCGAATGGATTGTCAGGGGAAATAATGCTAAGTTGCTGTTTTATTTTAGTGTTATTTTTTTCTTCCCCACTAGGCTACATGTTTTTTTTTAAAGTTAAAAATAATTAGGTCTATGTTTTATCTCATACAAAAGATACGCAATAAGAGAACACAAGAACCAAACCAGAACAGTTGATCCCGAGGCACACCCACTGGCCTAAAAATACATTATCTTTCTAAGTCAGTGGGTACACCCTTCTCCGAGACAAACGAAATCAAAACAAAAACGTT